ACTGGCAACAAGACAAATGATACTACTGTCAATAAGACTGTCAACACGACACATGTTACTACTGTCGACACAATACATGATATTACTGTCAATAAGACAGTGACGCATGATCCTTTGTTGAAGCGCACAGATCACTGGTTGATGGTCGGCCAAAACACCGGATCCTCATCGGGATGGAATCTCCAGTGCATGGGCAACAGGAAGTTGAGCAGCCAGAAGTCCCCGAACGCGGCCCTCACTTTGCTGTTCACGCTCCTGGTATCATTGATTTTAATATTGTTGTCAATTTCAAAAGATGTTTTCCCTTTCAGTATACACCGACAAATATCGTACAACATGAATGTAGTGAATATGATAAACAACGCTAACATCCAAGTTCCAAGAATGACAAGACCGACCCGGAAGTGTGCGTATCCGAAAATCCAACGGAAGATAGCCACGAATGGCAGCATATCTACGTGACCGGTGCTAGGTAACACTTCCATGAAAATGAACGGCAGAGCATGCACAAAACCAACCACAGACGAAGCACAGCACCAGAACATCATAACTGTGTAATGACGCAAGTTCCGGTAGCCAATACAATTCCGTGAGAAGAAGCAGTGGTGATCACGTTTTAGTGAACACCGGTTACAAAGTTTGCAGTGGTGACAACGAGGTGGACGTGGCTGATCACATACGGTGCAATATCGCCACGACCAATATGGTGGGCGTGAAGGGGAACCGGAAGTGGAACCATTTGTAGATCCTCCAGCTCCATATTGTCTACTTTGTACATCTATAGACGTTGTTACCTAAATAAAACAAAATCATATTACATAAATTAAAAAACAGACATGTCCACTAAGAGTGATACAAATTAAAACATCGCTGTTATCCGTTAATTATCGAACGATGTACGCACCTGTGATGATGTCTGGGATTGTTGTCGGTCGAGGAACTCGAGGTAAGTGCCATGCCTGTGGGGGTCATAGGCTGAGCTTACCGTGTAGACACACCACCAGTTCAGCAACATCTGCACAGCCATAAAACTGCAAATCCCCTGAATTACGATTATAACTTCTTCTCCGAAATCCGCATACAAAAAAGGAATTCCCTGGCACGTGCCGTAGTACCAGACCACCATCACTTCCGCTAAGAACACGATTGGGAGGTACTTATTGAGGTTCCGCGGGGACGCCGCTGGTTCTCTTTTACGCTCCTCTAAATGCAAAGCTAATTTCTGTTGAAGAGTCAAATTTTTGTCTTTGGCGGTGTCGCGAACTATATCTTTTTGGGACGATGCTTGGATGTCCATGTTGGTATCTAGGCGGAAGTTGTCGATGTATTATATATATATCCGTATTATGTCCGACTTCGTCCTGGATAGACTGACCAGTCAAGGCCTGTCCAGATCTAACTGACCACTGAGGCGTGGTAAGAGTGTCGAGTTCAGATTTATCCATCGTATTTTAGGTATAGGATTCAAATGCTTATTGCCTTTCGAATACGTATATATAACGGTAATCCGATTTAGTGGTGTTTAAAAGAGCCGAGTACTCGTACCTATACGATGACTGTTAAGTCCATTCCATTGAAGTGTTTTAATCATTAGAATACGTGTGGACGTGGAGGCATGTGTATCACATACATTGTAGTTATTTGGTTCACATTTATCGATTCATCCTACAAGGTTTTGTTCCTTGCGATGGCAATAACATCGTAAAAGTTTTAGTATCGTGAAAGTAAGTTTGTATTTACATAATGTAATTATATACGATAGAATCATTAGGGGTGTCATTTTTACCGAAAGTCGATCTAAACCCCTAAAACA